TCGCTTCGACATCTCGGTTTTACGAGTTTCGTGCAGCCCGCAAAAATACCGGATTTCTCGAAGTGGCTACACACGATTACTACACGTCGGTGCGTGGTTCAATAATAGCCAGTTCGAGAAGGCAGCCGCTCGTAAATTATGGAAAATTCTCGACATATTTCCGTCAAGCGGCGACTACCTTCTAGCTGGTATCCAAATAGAGCTGGGTCCCGAGAGAGATTAGTCGCGAAAGTAGCGAGCGTAATACCCGTAAAAGAGTCCAGCTTCTATTCTCTACAGATTTCTCTACAGAGGACAAATCGTTACTCTCAGGCGTAAACTTGTATCGCAATTCGGAGAATAATTGCAATAAGTAGGAACGTCAACTAGGCGTTTGAAGTCTCGACATTACATTTTATCATTTGTTGATCTTTTTTTTTTTTGCACGAAAATGCAGAAGCATCGACTTCTGGACATTTCTGATTAATTTACACGTTTTAATCATTGATTTGTAATTGATATAATCAACTTGCATCTTTTGAATTAACCGAGTACGAAGTTGCAGTTCTATGTATTTTTGGAAACATTTTTTTTTTTTACCCAATCTTCGTCAAAACAGATCGAATCAAACGTATGAAATATATTTCATAACTAAAGCATAAAATTTCCATCAGAAACACTGAAATAAAAAAAGAAAGGAAATGGAAAAGTTTTATAATGCAATAAATTACACAGACTTTTACTTGCACATTCGTCGAAAAATGATTTGAATCTTCAAAAATACATTGCTTTATGTCTGTAAAATTCCTAAAAATTACAAGTTGGTCATTTTGACCACGTTCTAGTGTTAAGTAGATGAAATATATATGAAAAACAGATAGATCAAATATATTGACGAAACTCGAGGATTTGTTAAAAAATGCGGAGAGTTTGCAACACGATCGATCGATACCATTCGGAAGAATATCTGGATGCGACCGGTCTGTCCCGACCGCGAAACGAAAACGAAAACGAAAAAAAAAAGAAAACGAAACCGTGTACGTACAAAAGGTGCGACGAGGTGAAATAGCACGCGGCGGCCAACGAAGGAAGAGACGAAAGTAGCACACAAAGAGGGAGGCAAGGGAACGGGAGAGTGCAAGCCAAAGAGGCATTGGCTCGTGTGCTACCAGCAACAGGTGCCCGTCAAGCAACGTTCAACGTCTCTAGCAAACCATCTCTCTCTCTCTCTCTCTCTCTCTCTGGCACGCGCGTTGACCTTCTTCCCTTTTTCCTTTCTTTCTCTTTCCCTTTCTCTCGGTCCTCGTTCTTCTCTTGTCACGCACGGCGATTCCTCGTCGTAATTGATTCGTTGACGAGACAGCCCCGCGGTGCTCCCTGTCCAACTGGAGAACCGTTCAACGACCGATCTCCACGATCTCAGATTCTCGTAAACGTTTGGAACGCGTGCCCGCATCTACTCGCGTGCGTTCCTCGTATGTTAGACCATTAAAACCGTCGATCTTCCCCATCGAAGACACAGTACTCACGCACTGTCCTCCCCCT